TCAAAGCAATGCTGTTTAGCTCCTTGCCCTTAAATGTTCGCACTGCATCTCCCTGGTGCTCAGAGCAGTTTGCATAAAACACTGGTTGTCAGATGAACAGTCAGAGGCTGAAGCTGCAACAAGTCACCTAACACTCAGGAACTAGGCACTGAAGAGTTAAAAGTTAAACACACATATCACTGTGATTGCCAATGCTAATGCTATACGTGGACATACAATACAGAACTCAAATTTTATACTAAATTTTGTTTTATTCTACATAAATGTCACATTCCCATGGAATTTACTTTAAGGCTAAGGGGCAAGTACTGGCAATGTGCCATTTGGATGCAGTGTGACTCATACTAATCCTATAAATATGCTGTGGGGACAGAACAAATATGAATTAAAAATGAACTTTCCACTGGGAATTTAGGTATTTTAAAAACTCACCAATTGCTGATAAATATACTCTAAAGGGACACAGTTTCCTGAAGACATTCTGTGCCGCACTACCACCAAGAGCAAACAACAGTTCAACCCAGGGAACACATATGCAAAAGTGACACAAGAAACTTCTCCATACTGGCAGGGACATGACCATATTGCCTATTAATAGACATCTATGCACAGCAGCACTCCATGGCTTCAGTCAGGAGAACAGGTCCTACTAGATCCTATGGGAATGTAAAGGGAGGCTACGTCTAAACCTACAGTTCCGTTCACCAGTGCTCTGAGGGAGCAGCAGCACTGGCAGGAATCAACTGAACTGCGACACCTTGGCAAGCTGACCCGTACGTGAAACTGCACTGCCAAAATCCATGAGGATTCGTTCTCATCAATAGCTATGAGGCAAGAAATGAGCTGCATACCTTTGGGATTATGCAGTTTGCTGTAAGCTTTGGATTGATCCTGCAGTGATTTCCTGTGCTGAAACCCAGTGGCTAAAGTGCAGATTAAAGGCAAATGGAGTGCTCAAATATTTGCCTTCATGTAAAAGGGCAGAACGTGTCCCAGGTTTATGGCAAAATGCATCTCAGTTGGAGAGCCCAGACATGCAAAACACCTTGTTCTGGAAAGCTCATTTTCTGCACATCTATTGCCATCTTCAAAGTAACATAAATACAAAAATTGGTATTCCTCATTATAAAGATTTATCTTATTGCAGTTCCTGCAGTCATCGTGACTGTGACTGGAGTAAAATTTCATCCTGAAAATATATTGTGAATGGCATTATGGTTTGAGCACCATCCTGCCTTCTGAAACTTGGTAAATTACTTTCTGTAACAAGTATCAGAGATTCCATTAGTTCCTGCAGCCCGTCACCTGCACTTAGAGGTGATGACCCCATCACTGAGGTCACTAAAGTGCCAGAAATTATATTTTAATACAAAATATCTCTGTCTGCTGGGTCATTTCCCTTCCATCCGTCTCATCCCCTCTGAATTCTTGTTCTGAGAAGATCTGCTACAATTCTGAACCAATACAGTGCCAAGGTTTACCCAAAAGCTCTTGGTAATTACGAAGACAACGAACAGAGTTACCATCTTAACAAGATGCCCAAGGGAGATAGATGTCATCATTTCTTTCCTATTTATTTACTATATCCCTGAAATATTTCCTTATCTTCTTGTAGTTACACTTTCAAATAACTGTTAACACTGCAAAACAGCTCCAAGGATCTGTCCTTAAGTTCTCACACTTTCATGCTAGCAAGGATACAGTCCTCACGGAGACTCTCATTATACGTGTATTTTAGTTTTCCTCCTAAGTACAAAAACATAAACCTCTCCAGCAATCTTCTGACATACTTTAACAAGTATCAAGAAGGACAGCACTGGGAAAAGTGCTGGTATGTCCACCAAAAGGCCAAAAACGTCATTTCACCAGACAGCAGCTTTTCAACCACAGCACCCAATAAGACTGTACTGAGCACTGAAACCTAAGTGAAGCTTCAAGTGCTTAAGAGAAGATTCTTTCTTGAGGGGCATTTCCTCCTGCGGCTCTCTTCCCATTTTTCTGCATAGTTGTACTTTGACGAGTTGAAAACGCTCGCTACCAAGTACTGAAATGCAGCCCTAGGAGACTATTTTTCATCACTGCATTTCAGTCTGAGTGATCTCCAAACCACAGTATTTCCCAAATGCTTGATTTATAGATACAACTGTAGCTAGCTAAATATTGGGCACTTACCTAAAACTAATGTCTCCAGGTACCGAGTTTTCTTCTTTCATTACTGCCATTTGCTTCCTACATCTGTTATACTGAAATTGAGACTGATATCTGCTGGAGAAGAGCTTGGATCATTCTTATTATTCAAAGAGGGGTGGTGGAAAGAAGGATAAACTTTTCTTATTACTTTATTTTAGGTTTCTAAGTAGATGCAGCCAGTGCATAAGAACTGCTTTAGGCCAAGGCACCAATGCACTTCTCTACTCTCCTGCCAAAGATTCAGGGTGTCACGTCCACGTACCGCTAAGATGTGACCTCGCGCCTAACACAGGTGAATCTGTGAATGCCCTATGTACTAAATCCAGAAGTTTGGCTCAGATTAAGACATCTTCCAAAGAGACCTTTGGTCATAACTTTAAAACAAGGAGGAATGGAGAATCCACCACTTCTCTTGCTAGTTTGTTCCTATAGTTATTTATCCTCACTGTGTGCAAATTGACTTTCATTCCCCATATGAATTGTGTAGTTTCAGCCTCTAGAACAGATCTCTTGTTTGTCTCTAGTACATAAAACACCACTTTCTAACGCATTTCTGGCAATCTATTTCTAATCTATTTCCGGGCAAAAGTGTTTGAGCTCTTAGTGAAGACCTCTCTCATCCTCTTTCTTCTGACACCCAAAATACATTGGGTTTATGATAAGCTTTTCTCCAGCTTTTAGTCACCTGCTTAACTTATTTTGTACTCTCTCCAGCTTTTCCTCATTGTTTTGAATCAAAACTAGAGTGCAACATTCTGGTATACTTCTAACCAGTGCCACACTGAAGATAAAATTAACTGCCTATTCATAAACCAAAGTACGGTGAGAAGTTTGTGTTCAGTTGCTTGCACAAGATGTTCTGCAATTCACCTTTTCAGTGCCTAACATAAGAAAGACTGCAGGCCTTCCTGGGTTACACACAACTGACTTCCTTTTAACAGGATTGTATCAGAGATTGCAGACAGAAGGAAATCCAAGGGCATTTTGCTTGTAAAACCTGCTAACAGAAGACAGCTGGGCTTTCCAGCATGACAGTAATGCAATGAAATTCCACTAGCACCATGAGGTGGGGCAAGGACACGTTTTGAAAGAACATGCCTGTAGTGACCTCCTGCTAAACGCACACTGGCCACACAAGTCATTGGCGCAGTCTGAAAAGCTTGTCGTGCTTGTGAATAACTAAGTTGGAATCATATTTTGCTGTTAAAATACATTTCTAGGCCATTATACATTCTTCTGAGGAGCAGAGTGACCAGTATACAGACCTTTGTGGTAACAAACCTGCATCCTGACTAAAAAAAATAAATCAGTCCCCACAGAGGAAGCTGTAATTCACCCATGCAATTAGCCAGGGTTAAATGTTGGCAATGAGTGGATAGATACTATCCGATATCATAATCTGTAATCCCCTGCTAACCAGGATGCTGGAGCATTTCATTTGTTCTGGCAGCCAAGAAAATGCTGCTCATTCATCATCAGATTTGAGCACAGTCATGATAATGTCCCCATAAGATTTGAGACAAGTTTATTCTAGAGCCTGATAATGGTTCAGAGTGATTTATAATGGTTATTAATTCTATATTCAGGTTGTAGGTTTCTTTCACCCAATATTTATCTATGTGTACAAACCTCAAGAGAAAAAAAATCCATTTCTCTCACAAGTGAATTTTACAATGGGCTTTTCATTAGAAAGTTACCTGGTTCTCCATCAATAATCTTTTACTCTTTTTCTAATCTTTATTTAATCCCTTTTATAAACAATACAGCCTCAGCAAATTCTGCTGAGGGTAAACCTTTCACTGTGTGTGTTTATCACAGCAAGATTCTCAACATCTAGGCCAGTATTTTCATATATTAGGAACCTAAATCCACATGCATATCAATAAAAGTTATATGACTTCTGAAAATAAGCTTTGATAGTTGCCTTCAATTTGGTGGGAATTTGTGAACCCTCCGAATTTACAGGCAGGACACCTAGGTTTCCAACTTCAGTTCTAAATGTCTAACTTACTGAAAACATTTCCTAAAGTCCTGCCTTGAATTTTCCAAGCCCAATGTTTTCCCTGGCAAAGCCATGATTTCTCCCAAATCACACAGAGAATACATCACTTTTACACACATCAGATTTAAAACAGAAATTGAAGCAGGTCCCAAGAGCAGCAAGCAAATGCCAGTGATTTACCTACACAGTTTTCCTCTACAAAAATAAGATATTGCAATTCTTTAAGATGTTTTGACTTGCAGTTTCTACTTGTTCTTATCATATCCAAACATAAACAATTTTTGACCACTATGTGTACACAGAAATGTCAAACATATTTGCAGGACTGGACTTGCATGTGTGCATAGAAAGTGCTTCTGACTGCAAAAATTTTATAGTTTTTCTGTAAAAATGATAAATGTACATTACAGTTCCATAAACGTAAGTGAATTTAAATATGCAGTGCTTATAAAGGCCAAGTTGAAGCCATTTTGACAATACAGCCCTTAAAACAACCAAATACTACTACAGTTCCATAAATGTAAGTGAATTTAAATATGCAGTGCTTATACAGGCCAAGTTGAAGCCATTTTGACAATACAGCCCTTAAAACAACCAAATACTACTTTTCTGGACTGTTGCTTAAGAAAACACCATTGAACACTTACAGATGGCAAATAAAAAGTAACTTCTGAGGCTGGAGCCTCACATGGGAATTTTGCCTTAGGAAAACAGCAAAATGAAGTCTCACCCTGCCCACTAGATGCTAAAGGAATATATATGTTACAGAAGGAAGTCACTTAACCAGGCTGTGGTAGATCTCACTTACCACAAGAGCAGCACGTGAAGCAGTTGGTGTGATAGAGATTGCCCATTGCTTGGCAAGCCTGGCTCGCTCCATACACCCCTTTTCCACATTTTATACAGATACCTAGAAGGAAGAAAGAAGCAGAACGTTAGAATCTCCTGCAACCCCTAAAAACAGCTCCCGGCCACTAAGTCTCAACCCTGTAATGAAGCTACTTACGTGCTGTTTGAATCCTGTTACTACAAACGGCTTAGCACTAATTGTTAGTACCAACAAAACTCTTAATACATTGAGAAAACAGAAACCCAATAACTACAAAATCAGGTCTTCCAGAGTACTACAGGCCTTCCAGAGTACATATAGAAAAATGCACAGAAAATACAACTGCTTTGAGGAAAATCAGCATATTATAACTGGCAGAAAATTTATAAGCAGAAGAAAGCAAGCTAAATATTTCATGTCTCAGTTTGTTTTTGTTTGATTTTTCATCCTAGTTTGATTTTACATTCCTAGTATGTGAATTATGATTAACTGCCACACCATAGAGAAAGAAATGCTATTTGTTTCTGACAGGTAATTGTAAGGACGTTGGTAAAGCTGACAAAAAAAGCAATATTCAGTAATACTGCTGAGATTTTGCTTGGACTTTCAATGAGAAAACAGCTGTAGACAACACGACACCCACAAACCTCTCTGGCCTGCAAGTGTTCAAGATATATTCTAGAACTCATTTCTGAAAACAATATGCACCAGTATTCATACAGTCATCTCTATGTGCTGTGTAGTTTGATCAGTTTAAACGTGATATTCTCACTTTAACGTCATCAATGTCCCAAGTTAAACTGTGTTACCAGCTAGATACCAGGTATTTCCAACAGTTCACTGCAAACAAAATATTCAGAAAATGTTGGTCATTAGACAAGTTCTGATAGAAGAAATTGGAATTTCAGAATATTTGTTACCTTATTCAAGGTTCCTGAAATGTTATGTCTATTTATTTGTTTGTAACCAAAGGTTATGAAAAAAAAAGTCCTGATATTTGCCATGAGTTAATGGTTAATTGTTGATGAAAGATAGTTACTGATTACTGCGGACATTCTGATCTGAAAATGCAGCCAGCTCAGCCAGCTCGTGCCACAGCAGCTCCCAGCAGAATCACTGTCAGTACAACAAGAACAACCTATAAAGCTGCTTTCTGCCTCATTACATGCTATGAGATCCAAAGCAGCCATGGTCCCTTGTGGCTCTGAGAGCAGACGGGTTGCCCATACAATGCCTGAACACAGTATTCACTTTTGGAATGAGCAGTCTGTTACTTTAGCCCAAAGCCTTGGTATTTCAATTTATTTTGGTAGTAGAGCTAGAAGAGAGTCCTTTTAGAGTTCCCCAGCTATCAGCACCCCTTTTTGCCCATCTTTCCATGCCATCTGTGCATGCAGGACTGATGACTATTGATAGCTGAACTGGGAGGTTACATCAAACGAGCCACATTTTCCCATTTCTGTTCAGTTCACTCCAAGGATAGCAGAAATCCACAGCCTAGGATTTTCTGACATTTTTCTCTATCAAGTCTCATGAACAAATCTAATACTTCAGCAGAAGTTACTGCCTGATTTCTTTGCCCATCACTTCACTGGACTACCAGAAGCAAAAGAAGGATTTACTGTGGATGTTACAGTTGCACAGGGCTCTCCAGCAAGTGATTCATTATGAGCAGCTGTCAGTTTGTTAACTTATTTTCTCTAAAAGACTGGTCATTAACTCCAGGAATGAATGACCACACAGATAATTAGCATTCTAAAAAGGCATATATATAATTTCAGAAGTGTATTTTGGAAAGCATACATACAGCTGTGGTGCAAGTATAGTGTGAGCTCATAACTGCCTAGAAAAAGCACTGCCTACAGTCAGAGCGCAGGCTGCACACCGCGAGCTTGTGAAAGCTTTGGCATAGCAGCTACATTGCCTTTTTTTTTTTTTTTTTTTCCAGATTTAATTCCAATTCTTGTTAAATTGCCTATGAAGAATGTTCTGTTACAGAGAAACCATGTCTCATTTATGACAACTCACTCCAAGACTTTTCCAGTCTTTATACAATACTTTGCCTCTCCCAACACCTCAATTCAAGATAGCTTATTGATATCTTGACAGCATCTTCTGCAGGTACAGCAGTTTCTTGACAGCTAAGTGAAACAGAATGAGGTCCATTAGGTTCTAGCCTCACCAATCCTTTGCAGAAGCAAAGGATTTAGTCTAATTTACTGAAGTAGTTGTCTTTTCTCACAGCCCCACTAAGAGGTAAGCAGGTGCACAGCCTTCTTCTGCAGCCCTCCCTCAGGAAACAAGTATCATTGAGTATTTAGCTCTCGTCTTTGGGCTGCTCCCTACTGAGAGTGGTGCAAAGTGGCCCCAGCAGCAGTGAAGATTCAGGCTGTTGGTCTCAAAGAGAGCTTGTAAACAGACAATATATACATACACCACTGAGTAGCATTGTCAAGATGCTGATTTAAGCAGTGGGAAAAACAGCACCAAATTGTTATCAGCTCAACCAATATTTTTCATGTATTCAATAATTTTTATCCAGACTCAAGAGACAAAAGGAAATACAGTATAGCAAGCCAAGGTACCAACAAAAACCTAGGAAAGACATTAAAGCTATATGATTTTTGCTCAATTTGTCCTAGAGCAGCCTATGTGTTAGAAGAAGTTCACATGGGGACCTCAGCATCCAACTACAGATTGTTCTTTACCTTGGCAAGCCTTCCCAATACTCTTTTGACCATGCAGATGCAGGCTGCAGAGTAGTACTTTGTACTGACTGCTCTGAGTACCTCAGACCTACAAAGGCAGTAGGTTAAATGGCACATGTGCTAGGACAGTGCCAGCACCCTGCTCTCAGCAAGGCATTTCAAGGGCTAGCAGAAGTATTTTGGTCATCCTCTGACAGACATGAAGCAGCCCAAGCCTGGTGCCACCTTCACTTAACCTGAAGTCAATAGCTTAGCACAAATACAAGGCAACAATATGATCTCTGCAACAAGAAGTAGTTGTATGAAGGACAAGGCGAATCTGGTTACCTCACTCCAGTTCGACAGCATGCTGCACACCAAACATGAGCCACAGCTTTACTGTCCTACCGTCACACCACATCTCCCTCGGGTAACAGCTGTGTGCTGGTGCAGTAGGAAACAATCGTGCCCTGTTGTTAGGGCACAGCTAGAATTAAGAGCTAACCCAGGGCACAGATGAATCCCCGCCTCTGTGCTTTAAAAAGGATATTACTACTACCTTTAAAAGATTTTCTCAAGAGGTGGAGTAAATGCAGAGGCATCACCACTGCACTGAGCTATGAGTAAACTTTTTACAGTCATTACTAAAATTTATCGAGATTGCCCCTACCAATGCCTTTTTCATGACGGAAAGAGGGTAAACATCCCAGCAATAAGCTACATAAACCTTGGAGATATTTGTGGACTAACTTGAAAGGCTCCCCACTAGTACTATTCCTGCCTCTTACAGGAGATTTTACTTAACTAGTTTACAGGAGAGGTGTGTGTGCAGAATTTTATGAGAAAACTGAAGTTGGGGATGAATTTGCATTCACTTCCCATTGCCCAGAAGCCTAAGCCAGCTCTGTGTTCTAACTCCAGCTTCTGGAAACGTTTTGAACGCTTCCACTCAGCGTATTGCTTAACAAGGCTGAGACTTGTGTCGACAAAGCTGCTGGGAGAGGTCATGGCCATGAAGAGAGTTGCTGGGACTAGTTCCAGGAAGAGCTTTTCTTATCAGGACACAGGAGTTGAACTTTACATTCATGAGGGAATCGGTCTAACCAGCAGATCAGCAAGGCTCGTCCTTAGCTTATTCTAACTTGCTTTGTTAAATACAAGGGGTGCTCTGCTTTGTTGGAACCTTTCCATGGTTTCAAATGTAGATACAGTAACGATGATGGTTGAGAGCTTTGAAAGCTACAAGGCTGTCTCTGAAACATCACCCTCCCTGACCCTTCATTTTAGCAGCTACAAGCCCAGAGAACATCCAGGCTGGTGCATTAAACCGTGACAGCTATAGGTCAACACAGCAGAGTAGATGATGTCATGGGAGACGGTATCAGTTCTGATTAGCAGCTGTTGGAAACTGGAAGGTTTTTGTTAAAGGAGATCCATGCAATGATACAAGTGAAAGCCTGAAGCTAGTGCAGCAAATGCCTATTGCTTCAATACAGTATGTGAAATTACTGCATTGAACCATGAAATTACTGACACTATGTAGGCAGCGTTCTCTGCCTCGGCCGCAGCCTCTGCAGAGCTGCCTTCTGGGCTGATATCTGAACCCCTGCACAAGGAGCATCACAGGCCCGCTGTTCTATGCGATGTTTCAGTTACACTGATGCTTTGTTCACGGATATTCACTTTTCTACTTCTTGATCTAGTGCATAGCAGTTACGGGATGATTCACACCTCTCATGTAGCTTTTAGAAAAAATTCTTTTGCCACCATGACAATAAACTGAGAAGACCAAGTAGTTCTTGTGAGCTCCTCTATCATCTGTGATACTTTGAGTTGTTTTGCCTATGATTCAGAGCTCGACTGCTGTGTCCGCACTGACAACTACAACTATGAATGGGAGGAGAGGGAACTATGAAAGAGGGGGTACAACAGAGGAAAGTCCTTTTCCTACTTCTAAAATCACTTTGGCATTTTTGAGATTATCAAAGCAAGGAGGCCTGTATAGCTCAGGATAAAGGAGAACATCACTGGAAATCAATCATTCTTAGAGAGAAAGTTACATGAGAATAAAACTCCTTCCTCATCCTCCTCACACTCTGCTCCTGGCGCTTGGATGTCTCACTAAGGCTGTGAACACCTTACAGCTCCCTTGATGCTGACTAGGGGCGTACCCTTTGTCATCTCCCTCCTGTTTTTTGCCACCACCCTCTGACCAGGGGCCCCAACCTCTAATACCCCCAAGGTTGCCCCCTCAAATCTGCCAGCAGATCATGCAGACCTTTCAATTTAAACTGCTTAACAGCTTGGTTCATTTGCCAAGAACACACAGATAGTTCAGCCTAGTTGTGGAAGGGTGGTCATTTCTAGAATAGTTCTTTACAATGTGTACTCCAA